TGTGAGGGTATGTGCACATGTGTGTAGTTACCCACAGAAGCCAGAAGAGGGCCTCAGATCCTCTGACAGCAGTGAGAACTGGTTGTGAACCACCCAACACGGAACCTTGTAAGAGCACAGTATGCTCAACTGCTGCGCCATCCCTTCAGGCCCAGCATTTCTTACTTTCCGTTCTCAAACATTTCCACTCTGTCCATTCATGAAATTCAGCATTCTTGTGGGTTTGCTGCCTTTTCACACAGGATCTCCTATACCCCAAGCTGACCATGTAGACAAGGAGGACCTTGAGCTTAGGATCCTATAGTTAGTTCCTCACCTCCCAGGTGCTAGAATTACAGTGTGTGCCATCAGGCCTTGTTCACGCTGAGCTACATCCTCAGCTCTACAACACTGCTTCTGGAGACAGGGGTCTCAATCTATAGTCTAGGCTGTATCTAACTCACTACAGCCCAGGCTACTTTTTAACTCTTGGCAATTTTTCCATCTCAATCTCCCAAGTGCATGGAGTATATGCATGGGCCACCATGCCTGGCTAGCACTATTTTTCTTAAAAAGGCCTAAACCCACTCAAAAGAAAACACTGACATTTTCAGTCCTATAAATTAGTACCTTTGTTTTTGAGACAGGGTCTATGTTTTTCTGGCTGGCCTAGAACTCAGAGATCCACCTGCCTCTGCCTCCTAGATGCTGGGATAATAGCCACCATGCCCAGCTAATTTTTATACTTTTCAGGAATGCCTAAAGTGGTTTTAAAAATACAAAAGAAGTAACAAAAAAAAATTCTATTAAATACTCATTTAAGAGGATGGTAAATAGATTTTCATATATTATGTGTCAAGTGAATCTTAATTTTATTTACTTATTTATTGATTTTGGAGATGGGAATGGGTCTTACATGTAGCCCTGGCTGGCCTGTAGAACTTACAAAGATCTGCCTGCCTCTACTGGTCAAGTGCTGTGATTTAAAGTGTGTCCCATCATGCCTGGCAACTGTAAATTCTAAAACAAATTAAACAACTTAATTTCCTTTCCAATAGGCACTCAGTACTTACACACTGATAGAACTGCCCACGCTGACCTCCAGTCACGAAGCGTTTCCCATCTGGATTCCAGGCTACACTGGTCAAACTGTCTTCATGAGACTGGCTCATTTTTGTTCTTAGTTCTCCCGTCTATAAGGAAATAAAACTGTGGATAAGACGTTCGAGATTCCTAAGGGTCTATGTAAAGACAGACTGGAAATGGAGGGAGAAGAGGAGGAGGAGGAAGGAAGAAGGAAGTAGGCAGAAGGCAGCCAGAAGAATGGAAGGTGCCTGGGGTACCTTACTGGTGCACCACTGCTAATCAGAGAAACGGTGATTTCAACTGGCCTCACCAGAACCAAGACTACAGCACTCAAAGAAAAATTGAAAGTTCACATATAATAAGCTTTAATACATTTTAATAAATTTCTCATCTTAAAATAATTAAACTAAAATGTAATTTTTCACCATCAAGACAATGAAAAGCCCAAAGCTACAAACTTAAATCCTTCTGAGCCTCCATTTCAGTCCAAAATTTTTTTTTATCAATTTTATCCTACAACTAGTTAATGCAATTAGCAATTCCTTAAGAACATGATTAGTAGATAGTAAAACTATGTCCTTAAAACCCGCTAAGGGCAATTTTAATTACACTAAATATCATATTCAAATGTTCATAATATAGCAGGGAGGACGGAAAAAAGACTACTTTTTCTAATACATAACGATTTCAATTAAAAGCCGAACAAAGAATCTCTGTACTATTTAGCATAGCGTTCTACAGTGCTTCCAACTAATCAAGCTTGTTTAGTGCTTAAGGCTCAGACATCCTCTTGTTACATGTTCTAGGTTATTCACCTTACGAGACATTGCATACACCATTTAATCTAGTCTTGTTCAATTTTGTTCTGGAATTAGAAACAGGACCTGAGAGGTAATAGCTGCCCTTGGTATAAAGACATGTGGGCATAATTTTCCTGTGAGAAACATGTACTTAAAAGTAAGAATAAAAGAGTGAAAACAAAGGGTATGATTAGGAACCTGGGGCCAAGTAATAAAGGCACAAGAAGCACAAAAAAGGAAACTAGACGTCTCCCTTACATGAGAGGAACAAACAAAATCCCAATTCAACATCTAAATCTGTGGTAATATTTGAACAAATAAAATTTGCCTGAAGATCAGACGACAGAACAAGCCACTAGATTAAACATAGAGGCCAGGCAGTGGTGGCACACACCTTTAATCCTAGTGCCTGGGAGGCAGAAGCAGAGATCCTTCTGGATTTCTGTGAGTTCAAGGCCACACTGGGCTACATGAGAAATAGTCTACAAGAGAAACAGAGCCAGGCAGTGGTGGCACACACCTTTAATCCCAGCACTAGGAAGGTTGAGACAGGAAGTGATATGGCTGAGCAGAGAAAGGAATATAAGGCGGGAGGAGACAGGAACAAGATGTTTCAGGCTGAGGAGATGGTGAGGTAAGAGGTGATGTGATGGCTGTGGCTTGCTCTGCTTCTTTGCCCTTTCAGCTTTCACCTGATACCTGGCTGTGGATTTTTATTATAAGACCAATTAGGATTTGTGCAACACAAATCCTTCCCCAAACTCTTCACTATTCTCAGCTATTTAATTACTATTTTGGTTACTAGACCTGAACAGCTAAGATTAAATGCAAACACAAAAAGCCACCAAATCTCGGGTGTTTACTTTAACAAAGACATTAGCACAAAAGTTCTGAGGCAGCAATGTTTTCCTTCTGTTCTGCACACAACAGTGAGTATTAGATTAGAAGCCTATCTAAAAACAGAAATAGCCCTGGGACTTCGTAAAAGACAACCCTTCTGGAAAAGGCCTTAACTTACCAAGTAGTGCAGAGTTACTCAATCTAACTCGAGTAAAGACCACACAAGTGTTAGGTGTTACGTCCCTAGTAAGGCTGTATATGCTTGCTTAGGGAGAGGAAAAAGCTTTAGTGGAAGAAGAAAGTCTTTTAGATCAGATTCACTCTAATCTATTTCTATTTTATTTACTCCGTGCTTTGCCATCTCCCTAAACCCAGTCACAAATACAGCAGTGGTTATTTGCTAGCTTGATACAAATAGCATAAAAGACACTTTTGGAACAAAATGACATGTGTTTAGATATTAAAAAAATAATAGGGGCTGGAGAGAGAGAGCTCAGCAGTTAAGAGCACTTACTACTATTCCAGAGGACAAGGACTTAGTTCCTAGCACCCTTAGGTGATTCACAACTATCAGTAACTCTAGTTCCAGGGGAGCTGATGATGCCTTCTCCAACTTCACAGGTACTACTCACACATGTGAGGTACATACATACATACAAGCAAAACATTTATACACATAAAATAAGAATGTTATGAAGGATGATGTTATTTTTGAGGATACATGCTTGAATATTAAAGATTAAACATATCTGTGATTTACTTTCAAATACTTTGGATCTGAATGTTTTAAAGTGTTTATGTATGTGTATTTATGTACATATGTACACATAAAATATCACAAACATAACAACTATCAAATCTAGAGTAGTAGGCACATATGTGATAGTGGGCACATATTTGATCACTATAACATTTTCTTTCTCTGTTTTTTGGAAAACATGCTGGTCTCTCACTATGCAGCTAAGGACAACTTTGAACCCTTAATCTCCTTCTCTTTCTCCCAAATAACAGGATTACAGTCATGCACTATCACATACAGCTATACCATTTTTTTCAACTTTTCTGCTGCCCAAGGTGGGTCACTCACTACATAGGTCATCTGGGCCTCAGCCTCCTAATAAGTGATGGGTTACAGGCATGAGACACTATGTCTGGCTTCATTTTTTTTCCCAAGATTTTTATTTCCTGGAGCTAGACTTACAGGCATTTGTATGGTGCTTGATTTTGGTGCTGGAAACCAAACTCTGGTTTTCTGAAAGAGCAGTATGTGTGCCCTTAACCACTGATCTATCCCTTCAGTCTCTCAAATTTTTAATATTTCAAAAATTCTCTTCAAAAGTTGGGGTAAAGCTGGGTGTGGTGGTGCACTCCT